GAAAGAGTGAAAGCTCCTGGTTCTGCTGGATCACAGGAAGCGGGTTTGAAACTGGTTCCTTACTCTGGCAATGAGACCTCCTACAAAGGGCCTGCAAACTTTCTTGTTAATAAGTGTCACTTGCATTACTGTGCTTTTTCCCCTGCTTTTCACACAGTCCTTTAAAAACAGCCAATTCTTGCCTGTTCCCACCTCTGCCTCCAGTCTGGAGGGAGGCTGTGCACAAGCCTTCTACTTCTCTGGCTCTTGGTCTTCCCATCCACAAGCAATTCTGCAGAAAGACTTGGGGATGACCATTCCAGACTTCACCTGCATGAGCAATATCATGCTGTGGTGAAAAAGGTAGACATTCAGTTGGCATATATGAGCTGAAGCGACATACTTTAGATGCTGTAGCACTGCTGGAGTCCTGTGTGTGTATGTAACACTACGCCAAAAAAAGAAGTCAAGAAACTTCAGTGAGCTCTGGGGAGAGTAACAGTTAGGGGGAGGGCAGTCTAGAAAACACCCCAGGTGAGAGAAGATTGAACAAATTGACATTGTTAGTAGGATGAGAAAGGAAAACAAAAGATTAAGAAAAACTGGAACTGCGGCCTTCAAACCTGCTGCTGCAAATATGCAGGGAATGGTATTTTCCATTGCAGGCAGGACAAGAAGTCATGAACTTAAATTGCAGTATGGGACACTTCTACTAGAAAGTAGGATAAGTTTTCAAACAATAGGCATTGTGAGACACTGGATGAGATTGCCTAGGGTGGTTACTGAATCTCTATCACTGGAGGTTTTCAAGAATAGACTAGGAAAACATCTGTCAAAAGTGGTTTATATCTAATTGATCTTTCTTTGGAGCAGAAGGATGGAGTAGACGGCCACTGAAGGCCTGAGGCAGTTCTATTTCCTGAAGTGCTTTTAGATTTGCTAACTATCTAAACAGTTTATAAGCGCTAGGTATTTGTTTTTAATAACTAATTTGCATGTTTGGCATGCTCTTAACCATGATCTGGTTATGAAGTGAAACTTCTCTTTCAGTCAACTAGCAATGTCCCAAGCAAATCATTAGAAATGCCACGTATCATACATTTTAACAACAGCTATTCATCAGGTTCCCAGCCACCCACCCAGTTTCAGGGTATGGAGCACACAAAATCCCTGACTCATGCATTTATGAAACCTGTGCTCCTTGTCCTCCTCAGGTTAGCAAAAACTATGATTTATGACAATAAACAGGCTTGTTTTGACTTGACCGGGATAAGAAACACTCACACGAGCAGACAAGCTGCCAGGTCATAGGGGTCAGGAACTCCCAGCACAGGGCAGGGACAAGCAACCAGGGACACTTTGCTCCGTGGATTTTCATTTACATTCCAGCACGGTGCAAGCTAGCCTGACTTGGTCTACTGCTCACAGGAAATGCAGAGGTCCAGATGAAGCAACATGCTAAAATCCACTGCTAACCCAACATCCATTGAAAAATGGGGAACAAAAAGTTACCTTTTTCTGAGGACAGAGCATATCACAAGCTCAGATGGCATGCTCACCCATGGGTGACCAAGGAGCCTACATACAGAGTGGCTTTGCAGCTGCTATCAATTAGTTCTTGAAATAATCTGGAAAAAACAAAAACATAACAAAAAACAATTTTCTATTAACCCTGAATTGCTGGGCTTAAGGCTTCCACAGAGCAGAATCTGCTAGGAAAACCTTGTCCCTACTTAGGTTGGGAATTGCCATCCAAAGGCTCTGCATTACCCCTCTTTCCCCACACTGCTCTGTAACACCTGTCCTTTACCGATCTTAATATTGTACAGTTCACATTTCTTTCCCTGACTGTTTCAATTCCAGCACCATTTATGCAGTGGGGAGAGCAGGGTGGGAAGCTAGGAAGAAAGTTGTCTAGGGTCACACAGCAGGTCAAGTGGCGGAACCAGAAGGGTTATGGGTAAACGTCCCATTTTGTCTACACTGCTAAAACCCAGCTCTAAACACAGTCCTGCCTAGCTCCTGACCATCTGGTCACTTGTGAACAGCCCATGCTGTCCACGTACCCCAGCATATCAGGTACGCCAAAGCTTGCCACAGGCTCTGAACGGCTAACTCCACTTATTTGTCTGGACTGGAGGGTTGCCTTAAGGCAGGGCAGATACTGCCACAAAGACCAGCACTTCAGTCCTTGACATTCCTTGACTTATCAGCCAGCACTTTATCTGCTGCCAGATAAAGACATTTATTCAAATCACCCTTCTGTATGAGAGAAGGTCAAAAAGCAGAGTGGTTTGCTGCCGATTGCTACTTGCTGTGGAACAGATCTGAGGATTTCAAGAGGGGACCTGTAGGCTCCAGTTATCTGTACCAGAAGGGTTGTTCAGATCCAGGAAAGAGATGGCCAGGCTCCCTGCTAAGCAGCTGTCATGAACAACCTTACATCGGGCTAAAGCAGAGGGCAGCTGGTCTATGCTCCTCCTCTTCCCAGCCATGGACCCTGCTCCTAGAGTCCCATCAGAAAGCTGCAAGAGAAATAGGCATGTGTGGGGTGCTGCAAAGACAGTGAACTGCCTGTGTGGCCAGCCCGCTCCCCTCGAGTAAGTGGATCCCATAGAAGTGCTAGGAGGAGAAACACATGCAATCGTAGTAAAAACTAGCTCAGATGCTTGTGCCACTGACTAAAGAAAATCACATATCTCCAAATCCATAAAATGAGTAAGATGGTGCTGAGCTCTGCTGTAAGTCTGCTTTTGTCTGGAGTGCTCCGATGAGATGGAACAGGAATTCTGTGGCAACCCAATTTAAATATGAAAATGTACAGAATAAATATGAAAATTAATACACAGTTCAGAGCCTTCAGTACTGGTCTAGGGCTCACTTCTAACAAGCTTACACTAAAAATCAACTTTGAAAATGACCCTATTGGACTAGGAAAGTGGCAAAATTGTCTCTCTGACACCCATTTCTGGCAATTTCAGTTCTTTTGCAGTGTTCCAATATATTCCATTTTTCATCTGCTATTACTGAATTTTTCCCCAAAACAATGCACAACAAACTTGTCGTTCCCAGGTTTTGGAGGTTTATGGGGCTTGGGAGGATACGGTTTTGACATGGAAAGATGAACTCATTAGCTGAGTATTTGTAGCAAAATGATCAGTGAATGAAAAAATTTGTGTTGACATTAAGTGGCTACTTCTAGGTCACAGAGCTCTCATTTCAATAAGACAAGGAGAATAGTTTCCCTTGAAAGTTACTGTTTCCAATTGCATTGGTCTCTGGAAGATGGCATGCTGGTAATTCACATAGGGTTGTCTTTACACAATATCTAGTTTTAAAACAATAAAAGTAAGACTTCACAAAGTGCCCAGATCTCATTCGCTTGCACTGGCTCTCAAGCTCCTTAAATTCTCTTTTGCAGAAAGATGTAGATTCTTAGTCAGAGATTCTGCACACCAGATTTTCAACAAGCTACAGAGACTTTGGCAGCTGTTTGTTTGAAACAGTTCAGTACCACACAAAAATAGCTAAGAAGGAGGTTTGTTGTCCGTTTGAAACTGAACAAGTTAAGGAAAAAATAAAAATGCAACAGCTCTCACGAAACTCCACACGCTCAAGGGCACTGCAATCAGGCAGCTCCAGTAGCTCTACTGAACTGAAGGCCCTTTCATGCCCCTTAATGTATATGTGTGAACTGCACCCCAGTGAATTGCTAACTTGTCCTTTATGAGTGAGCCAGACGAATAAGATTCTAATATCAGAGCTAATGCCCCTGTGAAGTGTTGCTTTGCTTTTGTGCTTTCCTGTCTCTACATTATCAGAATGTCTTCCACATAGCTTTATTATCGCTGGTAATGAAGAACTAAGAGGCGAAATTTTCTATTTAAGTATCGAGCAGTTGAAAAAATACTTCCCTGGATACTGGAAAATCAAATAGAAGACTCCAGGGCAAAAGGGCTAATTAAAAAACAAAAAACAAAAAAACCCAAAAGCCTGCTTTACCCTGAAAACCCTTGAGGAGAGATAAAAGCTGAAGGGAGGTGCATGCTTGAATAATAAGGCCTTAATGGGTTTGGTTCCATGTCTAATACACAGCATTGATTTTGGCTGCTTGATGAAGTTAGTTATTAGATTAGAAAAATCTAATTTAAAGGGATAAAGCCCACTGAAAATCACTCTGCTGGAGAAGTTTGTATTGATGTCATAAGTAACCAATAATTTTAGGAAAAAGGCAAAAGAGATTAGGGTGGAAAAAATTCTTTGGGACATCAATTTACTTCATACTGCTGGCAGAATCCGGGATATGGTGTTAACGTCTCTCTTTTTGCTCTGTCTACTCCTTATATGCTTGGTCTCCTAGTGGCTCTCAGGGGGCAGGAGAGGGAAGGAGAAATATAATTTAAAAAATAATAGGAAACGTGATTGTAAAACAACAGCAAAAGATAGAAGCTGGCTAAAGAGAAACCAGAGACAGAAGACATTTCTGTAAGATATTTTAAAAACTTTGTCTGAACATGGGCTATTTCCACTTTGAAAGCGCTCACTCAAGGAGGTGGCAAAAGGGGCAAAAGTAGGAGATGGTAAATGGCAGAGGAAGGGCTCACTAGAGCCAGACAGAAGGCTGCAGGTCTGCAGTAATGAGATTAGCAGGAGGCAACGGTGGAGATGGTTGGAAAAGCCCGGATTAGGAAGGAAGGAGAGAACGAATAGGGGGAAAAGGAAAGACGGACACCAAAACGTCTTGCTTTGACTCCTGCTTTTTAAATGCAAATTCAAACTCTGTCCCTACAATTGTACGGTTCTACGATCCCAACAGCAGCAGCAGCAAGGCTGTCCAGAGGCTTTGCGATTTGCCTGCGTGCAATAAGGAACAAGACTGAAGAAGTCCTAATGCTCTTAACCAGTCTTAAATTTAGACATGTGAAGCAATGTCCTCTCATTCACACCACATACTCATACTGACCTCAGGGAACTTGTTCCAAATCTTTAGATTTGCGGGAGTGGAAGTAGGTACGAATTAGGTACGTCATTCCCAGAACAAATGTATTGTTTTATTTAGAAATGACAGGCCAGGCAGTGAGAGTAAACGGTGACACACCTCAAGACATTAAGAGTGGTACTCCATTCATCTACCTTTAGACATTACAATATAAATGTCTATTTCTGAGCTTGCTATTTGAACTCCCTTTGTAGTCATTGGGAAGGATATGAGTCATCTCACCCTAATCCAGACATCTAAAAGAGGACAGATGACTCATCTTTCATAAGTACCTACTTTTCTCCACTGATTACAAAGGCCAGCTCAGATGAAGACTTCTGATGTCAGGTGAGATGACTCCCACCTTGACTAGCCAAACTACTGTAAAGTATAAAATATTAAGTTAGACAAAGAACACCACATGCAGAGTGCTCAGCACCTATCTGATGTGCGTTACCCTAATGGGTGACTTCATGAGAAACCTTGCGTCTGATTACTTTCTCACATCCATCAGTTGCCGAACAAAGTCACCATTCATTCAGGACTGTATATGAGACCTGGGTATTCTCCCACTCCCTGAGAAGTGGCAGCCTGGATCAGATCTGCAGAAGTACTATTGTGTGTTAAACCCTGTGGCCCAGGTTACGCAGTTGTTCAGACTGGATGGTTGCAGCAGTCATTTCTAGGCTGAGCATCTGGGAGCACTCTGCCAAGTGACACAACAAGATATGACATGGGAACATGAATTCCAGAAAAGCAGCAGGTATTCAGCATTACACAGAACCAGGCAGTCACCAGCTTTGTTCAAACCCTTATTGTCCGTTATCTGGCCTCATCCTTCTCATATTGTGACAAACGGTGACAGTGACCACTTGTCATAACTGGAATAGATCATCCAGAAACTCCTGGATTTGTGGATGACTATAAAATTGTTGCGTACTCAGGAGGCAATCTTTGTAGCATCACTCAGGAGCTCAGCCTAATCATTAGTATCAAAAAAGGGTTTTCCTCCAGGTCAGTGCTACAACCCTCCTCAGAGGGCAGTTAAACAGTGGTTGGTAAGTTTATCTATCTTGGTAGCATTTCTTCAAACTAGTAGTAATTTCTGCATTTCAAAACTAAACCTGTCATTTAGTTATCCACAAAGTTGTCTTTGGAATGAATGAGGGATCCAAGGGTCAACCAAAATGACTGCTGTTACAATTTCTGCTCTCTTCTCTGGAAGTTAATCTGGGACTCTGTAGAGTTGCCTAATACTGCTGAATAGTACTGTACATGCTGCCAGCACTGGATTCTGGGTTTGCACTGCAGGGACACATAATCAACACAGTGATTCTGTCTTGAAATAGTTTCCCCCGTGCTACGACCTGGCTAATAAGATCTCACCAGCATTGGATCACGCATTCAGTGAGTATGGATGACTCCAGGATCCTTGAGTGCTGCTTTTACGGATAGCTTGCTTCTGGCATTGAACGGCTAGTGGCCAGTATAAGTGCTTCAAGGATACCCAGAAATCATCCTGTAGACCTAGCCAGTCAATATGAATAACTGGAAGGAAAAAACTTTGGACGGAGACGCTAGAGGCAAATCTGTGACCAGAGCTTTTGAGGGAGAAGAAACAGCAAATCTGGTGGCCAAGAGAGAGAAGAG